CGCTGGTTTACAGGTGTTCCCACTGAGCGTCACAATAAAGAGTACCGTGTCCTACTCTGTCGTGTCTGGGTGTCTGTCCACAACAGAAGGTGGCCCGGCAGGGCTGTCCCAGCTGTCCCGAGAGACCGCACTTGGCTTTGTGGTTAGGCTGAGAGGGCTCTGAGAAATCTCAGGCAGCCCCAGGGGCTCACAGCCTGAGAAATTAAAAGGCTTCACTCTCCATGCAGGCAGAGGCTGAGCTGCCATGGGCCCAGGGCTCATTCTGGTTTGCCTCTCTTTCCACATGCTGGGTCTCTTTTCTCTCCTAGGAGGGAGTTATCACACTGGGAGTGAGGTGCTGCAGGTCTAGAGGCAGCAGTCTCCAAGGAGGGGGCGCTGTATGCAGGGCAAACACCCCACAGCAACAGTAGGGGGTGAAGCCCATGCTCCAGGAAAGAAAGCTGTTAGGGAAGAAAGGGTTCAGAATGTGTCCTAGACTAGCACGGTGCTATGGAAAAACCAGAAGGCTTGGAGACAAGACTCCATCAATGGGAAGAGGAGAGGAGGCCACGCCCCCAGAGCAGCCTGGATCCTGCTGGATTTCCCTGGGCTCCCTGCTCGTTCCTAAGTGTGGCTCTTCACAGCTTAGCCTATCTCCTTGTTATCTGAGTTGATTTGCAGCCTGGGACTTGGAGTCTACGTCCTTGTGCTTGTTAGCAAGGTCTGACCTCCAGCCCTTGACTCGAGTCAGGTTTTGTGAAGGAATCTTTTGGGCAAGAGCTGGCCACAGCCAGCGTCTGTGTGGAGCCCAAGCCTGGCCAATACACCAGCTGCCAGAGTTGGTGGTCTTTTTTTCAAAAGTCTTTTTATAGTATGAGTATTTTGTCTGCATGTGTGTCCTCCATGTGTGTACCTGGTCCCTGTGGAGGTCAGAAGAGGGCACCAGATTCCCTGGAACTGGAATTCAAGGCAGCTGTGTTCCTAACCTCCGAGCCATCTCCAGGCCTGTCAGTGTACATTCTTACAACCACTGCAGACCTGCTGCTGCCTCAGTCTGGACTCGGGATGCCACCAGCTCGCCAGGGGATTCAGGTGCATGCCAAGCTCAGAGAGCCTGGTGTGGACCCGCAGGGGTGTCTCTCCAGTCTGGACGACCGAGATGGGAATCCTTGCTCAAACCCTGTGGATGCTTCATTTCTACTTCCGAGTAAAATGAGCGGAAAGCCCTACCTACACATCAGCCCGTGCTGCTTCTTCCTTTCCTAGGGTAACTGTAGCATCACTACATGCCAGTACGACAGAGAGAGCTGCTGTCAAGTTCCAAGCTGAGGGCTCAGTCAGCTCCAGGGAGAATCTGGTGGGTCTGTGTGTTCCATGGCTTCTAGCGGCCGCCAGTGTCTGTTTTGTTTAAACACAGCCTCCTCCCTCTGTCTTTAAATTTTTTTTAAAGATTGAAACATTTTCAATATGCATTTATCATTGTCTGTGTGTATGCCTGGTGCCACGGTGGTCAGAAGAGGGCATCAGATCTCCCCCCCCCCCCCAACACGCTGAAGTCACGTGGTTGTGAGCCACCATGTTGGTACTAGGAATTGAATGCCAGGGCCTCTGCAAGACAAGTACTGTAAGCCGTGGAGCCATCTCTCCAGCCCCTGAAAATTTAAAATATACTGTGTGTGTGTATGTGTGTGTGTGTATGTATGTGTGTGTATGTATGTGTGTGTGTGTCGCTCATGCACGCTTGGAGGGAGTAGAGTCCAAGGGATCAAATGCAGGCTGTCATTGGCAGCAAGGGCCTTTACTCACTGAGCCATCTTCCCAGCTTGCGGTCTTTCTTTTTAAAAACACATTTTAAATAGAGTTTTGTTTTATGTATGTGTGCTCTATCTGCACGTACAACTTCATGCCAGAAGAGGGCATCAGATCCCACTGTAAATGGTTGTGAGCCAGCATGTGGTTGCTGGGAATAGAACTCCAGACCTGGAAGAGCAGCCAGTGCTCTTAACTGCTGAATTATCTCTCCAGCCCCTCTGTGTCTCTTAAAAGGACACTCGGCATTAGATCTAAGGTCCACACAAGTAATCCCAGATTCGCAGTTTACGGGCCCTGCCGAATCCCACTGCAGCCTCCATTCTGGTTATAGTGATCAGGTGCTGTAAATTTCAAGGCATGATAGTGACATCAGCCAATGTTCCTTGGTGACTGAGGAGCATGGTGGAGCCCTGGACACACACTGCAGAGATGCCTAGTAGAGTGCCCCCTCCTCCACACTCAGGAATCTGCCGAACTTGAAGCTGGATCCTCTCTGGTTAAAGCACTATGTTCAGCACGCGGCAGAGTCTCGAGGCGAACTCCGGCCCCTTGGGTCCATTACTCATCCTGTTTGAAATCAGAATCCCAGAGCTGCTGTGTTGAGGCAGCAAATGTGCCTGATGCTCCTGATGGTTCCATGTGCACCAAACCGAGGGCAGAGGGCAGCGTTCCATGGAAATCACGGCGTCAGGGTTTCTGCTGCTGCGAAGAGAACATGACCATGATGACTCTTAGAAAGGAAAGCATTTCCTTGGGGCTGGCTTACAGTTCAGAGGTCTAGTCCATTATCATGGCAGGAAACATGGTGGATCGCAGGCAGACATGGTGCTGGCGAAGGAGCTGAGAGTTCTCCATCTTGATCCACAGGAAGTCAACTGTAACAGTGGGTGTGGCTTAAGTATAGGAGACCTCAATGCTCACCTCCAAAGTGACACACTTCTTTCAACAAAGCCATACCTCCTCAAAAAAGGCCACACCTCCGAATAGTGCTACTCCCTTTGGGGACATTTTCTTCAAACCACCACACATGGTTCAGATCCTGTCATCTTTATAGTTAGTTCTCAACCTTGAAGCTGACACATTTGGAGCAAGGATGTCCCTTCTGAGCAAAGACAGGACAATTCTCTGAACGACGCTGGTGGTCAGGCTGCAGTGGCTGGGAGCAATGACTGCCCTTTCCTTTCCAAGGCCATTATCCAGGGTTGCCTGTTCTGGGGTATCCAGTGTAGTGATCAGCTTGTCCTTGCCAGTGTTTGCTGGGATCAATGTAACCATGGTGGCCAGGTTCATTTGACTGCTGATTCCTGTACCGTCCACTAGGTGGAGCTGGCTCTCTGCCTGACTTGCTCTGCAGGTTTTCTCTTTCTCTTTCTTTCTTTCTTTCTTTCTTTCTTTCTTCCTTCCTTCCTTCCTTCCTTCCTTTCTTTTTCTTCCTTTCTCTTTTCTTTTCTCTTTCTCTCTTTCTTTCTTTTTGGTTTTCGAGATAGGATCTCACTGTGTAGCTCCGTGGGTCCCTGAACTAGCTCTTGTAGACCAGGCTGGCCTCAAACTCACAGAGATCCACCTGCCAAGGCTTCCCGAGCCCTGGGATTAAAGGTGTGCACCATTACCACCCGGTTCTTGTGCCATAGTTTTAGGGCTGTTTCCTTTGCATTAGGATCCCGGTGGCAGTAACTGCCAAAGATTTGGGCTGAGATACCAAGCCCTATGCTGTGGTAGACATCCCGGGAGACGGCTTTGGATGGCAGCAGTAGAGTTGTTGTGTCGTAGATCTGCAGGTGTCCACGAGTTTCTGGGCTTCAAGACATCTATCCCGCCAAGTAAGTCTGCCACCCAGTCCAGGCTACTCCACCCAAGACTGCTTGAGATGCCTGTTCTGGTCTATTCCACACTCCGATCAGAGGGTCCCCATCATTGCAGACATGATTTACCTGGTTCTGCACCTTGCAGTAGTTTCGTCTGGCTGCTGAATTAATTAATGTCAATCCTGGTAAAGACTTGATGGAAGGGAAATTCATAAAAAAGAAATGACCCAAAATAACCATAAGCAGAAAGGGGGCTCTCAAGAGCCACAATGCTAGAATACCTGTCTATATCAGCTGGCATCTTGACTCCGCCCCTGCTCCTCTGATGGGGACAAAGTAGTTCCTGAGATACAAGAGGCCCAGAGGGCTCTTATCCAGCCCTCCTTTGAGCATCTGTTCTGGTTCAGGTCCTGTGGGGGAAACTGAAGCCCCAGGTGATTTGCCAGGGGGTCCAGACTGGTCAGCTGGACACAGCCCTGCATTTCTTCTGACTCCTGGTGTCAGGCTGTGGGTGATGGAGGCCGAAAGCTGGCGCTGTCCTGGGTGTCGGGATAGGCGTGGAGACCAGGCTTGGGGTCCAAGAAGGGGCACATTGCCAACCGTTATCCACAGAGCCATCCCGGCTCTGTCAAGATAGCATTGCTGGGTGTGGAGAGAGACCGAATGTAAAGAGGCACAAGCTAACTCAGAACTTGGATTGCTTTCTTGTTTTTAGAGACGGCAACTCCCCAGGAACCCCAGACAGGCCTGGGGCGCCCCATTAGTCTGGCTTTAAAGTCATCGTCTTTTTGTCTCTGCTTCCTGAGTGCTGGAATTCTAGGTTTATACCACTAATGCGGCTCTTAATGGTCACGCCGGGAGCTTCGGTCTCAGAGTGAAAGGGTCAGTGTTGGCCTCCACCTTGCCATCAAGAGCTTGTGTTCTCACCTGATGGACAGAGCACCTGTGCTGCTGACCCCCGGAGGCCACTGCCCATCAGCGGGATGGGTTGGGAGTCAGGTTGCCATGGAGACTGTGGGAGAGTGAGGGAGCAGGAAGAACAGAATGGAAGCGTCTCACTATGGAGGAGGGAGGGCTGAGGCAGGATGGCCTTGAAGCAGGGAATGGTCGGGAGGGAAGGGGGGAGGGGCTGCAGCAGGTTGGAGGACTGGTGTGCTAACTGAAAGGGCTTCAACTTGACCCCGAGAGGTCACTGAGGACTCCTTAGAGGGAGCAAACTGTCTTCACTCCTTTCCCTAACTCCCTGGCCAGGGGAGGAGTTGCTGAACTCTGTCTGCTCAGGCCGCAGCTGGGGGAAAAGAAGGCTCCTATCAGGGCCGCACAGCTGGCCAGGAGCAGGGTAGGGCTGACACAGGCTCCACTTCCCCCAGTGTGGCCTCTGCCCTTCCTGGAACAGCCATTCGAACTGAGCCACAGGCCCCTTCAAGAGATCCACTGTGCCCACAATACCCAGCTGCGGTCCACAACCAGGTCAGTGCAGGGCTTTACCGAGGGGCCAGAGATGGAGGATGGGGCTTTCCTTGCGTATCAGCTTCTCTGGCTTGGTTGGGGAGCGAATAGTCACAAAAAAGAGTGCTAGAGCAGAGAGAACTTTATCTGGTCACGAAGGGAAAGAATATTAATCAGCCCCAGAGAACAGGCTGAGAGAATCCAGGAACTCTGGGGCCGCCTCATTTGGTTGCTTCTTGCACAAACTGGGGTTCTCTGTTGTGGTGTCTGCTAGTTGCCTTGACTGAGCTCTGAAGAGGTTGGGAGCTAGGCAAGCCTTAGTTAAATGAACCCTGTGGAAGTTACCCTTGTAATGGAGTGCTGGACCAAATGGGCCTCGGTGCGCCCCGTGTGTGTGCTCAGCCGAGCAGGTTCAAGTGTGAAGATGAAGGTAGCGAAGAGACAGTTGCACTGTGAAGGAAGGTGCCATTTCATCTCATCTGGCTACTCGGGGGACATCTGCAGGCCTGTCACTGTTTCTGCCAGGCCTCTGTGTGCCTGGAAAATACCGTAAGAAATGAGTCTTACTGAGTACGCCATCCCAGAGGAATGGAACTGCTTTTAATGTTTAGTTTTCTGCGTAGGAAGTAAGTCAGTTTCTTTTCACTTTTTTTTTGAAGTTTTTTGTTTTTGTTTTTTAGTTTTAGTTTTTGTTTTTAGAAATAGGGTAGCCCTGCTGACCTAGCATTTGCTATGGAGACCAGGCTGGCTTTAAATTTACAGAGATTGGCCTACCTCTGCCTCTAGAGTGCTGGGATTAAAGATGTGCACCACCAAACCAACCTAGATTTATTTTTCAAGTTCATACACACACACACACATACACACACACACACACACACACACACACTTACATGTGTGGGGAAGCCAGAGGACACCTTGTGGGAGCCAGCTCCCTCTTTTCAGTATGTGGGACCTGGGATTGAACTCTCTTCATCAGCCTTAGCTGCAAGCACCCTTGCCTGCGGTGCCATCTTGCCAGCCCTCTCGATAGATCTTAGGGAAATATTCTGAAATGGCGGCAAAGTTCTATGCGAGGAACATGTCCTTGGCACTATTGTTCACGTAGAGGGTTGGATATGATATGAGGTCCAGTGATTAGGGAGGATGGCAGATGGGTTTGGGCATCCCAGGGCAGGCACAGAACAGACAGGATGTGGCAGGAATCTAGGGCCAGCTTGGATGCAGGATCCTGAAGGAGTGAGACATGGGCCTTGGGAGATCCTAGGAGCTCTGGTGAATATGCCCCCCTGCAGGGCATAGGCATTGCTGTGGGTGGGAAGCTGTTCGTAATATACCACGCATGGGTAGGAGGACCCTGCTGAATAATTAAGGGACCCAAGCTTAGTCGCCAGAGGGTAGGGCATGGCTCAGAACGGTTTGGGTTCGTGAGCTAGCTCTAACACTGTTCTGAAGACTGGGGACGTTAGCTAACCTCGTGGTCATCCTTCTCCATTGTGATGGGGCCACAGTGCTTCTCATCTCATGGCACGTGTGCAGTGGATGTCTAAGGATCCCCGTGTATCCCGGACAGTAAATGTCAGTCTCTATCATTAGTCCACACATGCGCTCCTCCTCTTGGATAGCTGCCAGAGCATCCTGCTCCTCTTGCCTTCTGTGTCCAAATGCAGTTCCTTCCCCCAGGTTCCATCCACTGATCCTACCAGAGCAGGAGGCCTTTGCCTTGTCTGGAGCAGGGGTGGGCAGTTAGAGCCATATGGCTGGCTGGTTTTTTGCAGAGTCCATGGGAGAGAAACACTCTGTGTAAAGGCTGATCCTTGCCAGACACTGTGGAGGGACCTGAGGGACCCTAGTTCCCTGCCTTCTCTGCAGTTGTTCCCCTTCCATCACACGGTGTGCTTTCTCCTCGCAGCTCGGACCTGAGACCCTGCAGTGGACACCATGGACCCGCCACCCTGCCAGGGCTCCACAGGTATTTGCGTTCCTCTGGCTTCTTCTCCTCTGTGGCCTAGACCTCCATTCCTGAGTGCAGAGAAGTTGAGAACAGAGAAGGGGAGACCCAAGGGGGAACTACAGGAACATTCCTGGGGCGTATAGGTGGAACTCACTGTAGTAATAAGGGCGGCGGGGCTGCGTTCCCAGCACCCCGGCTGCCTGGCTAGCTTATGCCTGAAATAACAACACACAAACTGTATTCATTTAATCACTGCTTGGCCCATTTCTATCTAGCCTCTTCTGGGCTAATTCTCACATATTAATTTAGCCCATTTCTAATCATCTGTGTAGCACCCCTAGGTGCGCTTACCGGGAAGATTCTAGCCTATGTCCATCCTGGGTCGGAGCTTCATCGTGTGCGTCTGCCTGGGAGCTGGGAGCATGGCGTCTCTCTGAGGCATCTGCTCCCGAGAGGAGAGCTGTGGAGTCTGAGCTCACTTCCTCTTCCTCCCAGCGTTCTGTTCTGTTTACTCCTCCCACCTATCTTCTAACCAATGAGGGCCAAGCAGTTTCTTTTTATTTAACCAATGACCTTCCTCCATCAACTCACCTCCTCCCTGTTCTGCCTCCTCGGGTGGGACCAGGACAGTCTGGGAAGCTGACTCTGTGGATACCATCGCTCAAGTGCTTCCACTCTGTCCTCCCACCTCACTTTCCTTTCTAACTAGGGAGCAAACACTTCATCGAGGAAACCACTGAGTACCTTCAGCACTCATCAGGGAGGGGAGATCTGCGGCTGCTGCTGACTGAAGATGGAGCCTGGGAGGCCTTCGTGGCTGAGGCTGAGTTGTCCAGGTCACCTGCGGTTGTCACCTGCGGTTGGGCACTCCCCCTCCTTTTCTGGTTTCTCTTCCCTGCCTTTGGATGGTGCGGCCCCATTCACCAGTGCCTTCCCCACCCAGTGTCCTTGTTCACATGCTAATTGTCTCCAGAACACCCTCATGGATGTACCCAGAACTGGGCTGTGTGGGTGTCCCATTGTCTCTCAGGGAACTTGAGAGCATCAAAAGGCTAGACTATACACCATCTTCAAGGCTGACCTGGGATCGTTCATTCTCCTGGAGGTCAATGCCTTTAGTCTCCAATTCCCTGGAGGTCAGAAATGACACTAAAGCTCCCACCACATTCTGCCTGGTTAAGACTGAGCACCCTATACACCCTATTCTGTTCCTGGGAACAGAAGTGGTTTGGATCCTGGATTTTCCTGATTTTAAAATATTTTCAACTATGTTCCATCATAGGAATGAGATCCAAGTCTCAACATGAAGCACATTTTGGTATTTTTTACACCTAGCGAACATCTTAACTTCCTATGCTCTTGTTAGCACCCTTGTGTTTGAGTGTGACCTTGTCCCCTGAGGTCAACTATGGGGTTTTCCACTGTGGCATCATTTTGAAGCCATTCACACTTAGAATAGTCATTCAGGGTTGCTCAGTTTGAATGAGCTTTCTGCCAAAGTCCCAGCCAGATGCAGACGGTCCTGGTAGGCAGAACATGACCCAGATGACCCAGCCTACTGCTTACATCTCAGTGGCTGAGGGTGAAAGGGAGGCAACTCACAACACCCTAGCAAAGATTCCATGAATTAAGGGTGACTTATATTCCAGTCTCGCCTCCCTGTGTCCATCAGCAGAGACCACAGTGTTACCCTTGAGTAAGAAGCATCCTCATCAAACACCTGACACCAAGAGAATTTTTTAAAACAAGGTCTTATGTAGCCCACAATGGCCTTGAACTCAGACATAACAAAGATGACCTTGAACTTCTGATCTTCCTGCCTCTACCTCCCAAGTGCTGTTACTAAAGGACTTGTAACATCATGCCTGGTTTTATACAGTACTAGACCCCAGCCTCACTCATGCTAGCTAGACAGACATTTTGCCTATAGTGCTAGTCCCCAGCTCCTAAAGAACATCTTTTTAAAGGTTTTTAATTAAAAAAAGACTTATTGCCGGCGGTGGTGGCGCACGCCTTTAATCCCAGCACTCGGGAGGCAGAGGCAGGCAGATCTCGGTGAGTTCGAGACCAGCCTGGTCTACAAGAGCTAGTTCCAGGACAGGCTCCAAAACCACAGAGAAACCCTGTCTCGAAAAACAACAACAACAACAACAACAACAAAAAGACTTATTTCTATTTTATATGTATGGGTCTTTGCCTGAATGTATATGTGTGCCTGGTGCCCCTGAGGCCAGAAGAGGGCCCTGGAGCCCTTAGAACAGGCAGTTTTATGCTCCCATGTGGATGCTGGGAGTCAAACCTGGGTACTCCGGAAGAGCAGACAGTGCTCTTAGCTGCTCAGTCATCTCTCTAGCCACAAGAGCATCTTAAACCAATGAAATTTATATTATTTATTTATTTTTGAGACAGGGTCTCTCTATATAGTTCTGGCTGTCCTGGAACTCACTCTGTAGACCAGTCTGGCCTCAGACTCACAGAGATCTGCCCGTCTCTACCTCCTGAGTGCTGGGATTAAGGGCATGTGCCACCATGTCTGGCAATTTATTTACTCTTTATTTAGATGCATGAGTGTGTACATGCACATTCCCCTGGAGGCCACAAGAGGTCAGCAGAGCCTTTGGATTTGGAGTTAGAGATGCCTGAGAGCCTTTTGATGTGAGTGCTGAGATCTAAATCCCAGCCCAGTACAAGTTCAACAAGCAGTTTTAACTGCAGAGCCGATTCTCCAGCACCTCCTGAAGAGCACCTTAACATGGCCTTTACTCACTATCCTCTACTGATGAAGGGCCATTTTCCATTACCAAGTGTTCACCAGCAAAAGAAAGATTCTGCATGTCCGTAAAATCCTTCCTGAGCTACAGAAAGCATGTTCTCATTTGCACAGGTCATGTGCTATGGAGCCTATAACAAACCATCTGTCTGTCTGTCTGTCTGTCTGTCTATCTATCTATCTATCTATCTATCTATGGTTTTTTTGAGACAAGGTTTCTCTGTAGCTTTAGAGCCTGTCCTGGAACTCGCTCTGTGGACCAGGCTGGCCTTGACACAGAGATCCACTTGCCTCTGCCTCCCAAGAGCTGGGATTAAAGGTGTGCACCACCTGGCTTGTTGTATGTATGTATGTATGTATGTATGTATGTATGTGTTTGTTTGTAGTACTGGGCATGGAACCCAGGCCCTGTGCATATTAGACCGGCAGTCCAGCCTTGACCTAAACCCACAGCTAAACTCTCTCTCCATGCCTGTTACAGAGCTGATGCAGACGCACTGCGTGATGCTCTCAATGACCTCACAGAAAACATGGCCGAGGAAGACCAAGACAGGCTCCAGCGTGAGCTGCAGGACACAGAGAAGTTTGTGGAAAAGTTTCCTCAGGTGAAACTGGAACTCGAGGAGCACATCAGGACGCTCCAGGCCCTTGCAGACAGGGTCGACAAGGTTCACAGGGACTGCACCATCTCCAAGGTGGTGGCCGGCTCCACCAGCACTGTCTCCGGGGTCCTGACCCTCCTTGGCCTCGCTCTGGTACCTGTGACAGCTGGGGCCAGTCTGGTGCTCTTGGCAACGGGAATGGGCCTGGGAGCAGCAGCGGCTGTGACTAGTGTCTCTACTGGTATCGTGGACCACACAAGTGAGTCATCGGCCAAAACGAGAGCCAGCCACCTGGTGTCAAGCAGCATGGACAAAGTGAAGATGGTTGCAGAGGCCGTGGTTCATTCAGGGCCCCGAGTCTATGAGTTATCTGAGAACTGCTGCCGAGTCCTGCAATGCCTTCAACAGAGCATCTACGCCATCAAGCTCACCAAAGCCAACCCTGCCTTAGCAAGCAGTGCCAAGCGCCTCTTGACCATGGGGAGCATCTCTGCCCAAAGTGGGAAGCAGGTGAAGAATGCCTTTAGGGGCACTGCCCTGACCATGAGCAGAAGAGCCTGGATCATGAATGCAGCCACCGCAGGTGTGGCCCTTGTTGGGGATGTGATCAGCCTTGTGAAAGAATCCAAGCGTTTGCACAAGGGCGCAAAGGTGCAGTCGGCTGAGGAGTTGAGGCAGCAGGCTCAGGAGCTGGAGGAGAAATTGGGGGTGCTCATCCAGATCCATGAGAGTTTGCAGTCAGGATCAACTCAGTAGCAGGCTTCCTCTCCCAAAGCAGTGCTGGGACATGCACTTAGAGCTGGGGCATGCACTGAGAGCCGAGGCATGCACTGAGAGCTGAGGCATGCACTGAGAGCTGGGGCATGCACTGAGAGCTGAGGCATGCACTGAGAGCTGAGACATGCACTGAGAGCCGGGACATGCACTTAGAGCTGGGACATGCACTTAGAGCTGGGGCATGCACTGAGAGCTGAGACATGCACTTAGAGCTGGGGCATGCACTTAGAGCTGGGGCATGCACTTAGAGCTGGGACATGCACTTAGAGCTGGGACACGCACTTACAGCTGGGACATGCACTTAGAGCTGGGCCATGCACTTAGAGCTGGGGCATGCACTGAGAGCTGAGACATGCACTTAAAGCTGGGGCATGCACTGAGAACTGAGACATGCACTTAGAGCTGGGACATGCACTTAGAACTGGAACATGTACTTAGAGCTGGGACATGCACTTAGAGCTGGGGGATGCTCCTGAAGGGTTATCTTGGTTCTGGCTCTTTCATGTTGGTCCCCTATGCTTCCTGACTGCCCTATGGTGATCACTTTCCCTCTGTCATGCCCCTGTGCCATGAAGTTTCTATCAAAGACCGAAAAGCAATGGAGCCAGCTAACTGTGGATTGGAATTGCTAAACCATGAGTAGAAACAAGCCTTTCATGCTTTCAAGAGTGAATGACTGACCCAACACAGGAGGGGGTGGTGGCGAGACTGGAGAGAGACTAGAGTCTCGCTGGATTCATTTGTCAGTGGGGATGGGGGCTTGTAGAAGTGTGTCATCTGGAACACTCTTCTCGCCTGTGGGAGGACTCTCAGGTAAGATGGAGGCCACACAGACTCCACAGAAGTCCTTGATCTCAGTTTCTCAACACTGCCTAGCTTTCATAGTGTTAGGAGGTGCTATGCAGGCTCCTGGGGAAGAACCCCTCAGTGGTCTTATCCAGAAGCAAACCTCATACTCTTAGTAGTGATCCCAGGCTAGGTGTGCCCATTGGTGCAGTGGTGGCTAAAGGTTAAGGGAGAAACCAGCTGCTTTTGCAATGGATTTGAGGAAAGCCTGTTTCATCGGTGGAAACTCATGCCCAGTCCTGTAAGCCTTCTATAAAGCCAGGAGGTCATAGGCACAAGGGGGGACCTACTACATTTGACTTGCTGAGACTGGACATGTTGTCAAGCAGTCTTCTGAGTATTTCTTTCTATACCCATAGATCAGTGCTTGCCTCACCCTTGGCCAGAGAAGCTTCTCTCTGCAGTGGGCAGCAAGCAATGCAGGTTCTTGACTGCTTAAGTGCCGAGAATAAGTGACTGTCGTGTGCTGAGCTCCAGTTGAGATGTCCGTATCCCTTCCCACCTCCTGACACCTGCCAAGGCTCAGGGAACATCATGGAAGAGGGGTGGAAAGAACTTAAGAGCTACAGGATGGGGAGGAGGGCCGTGAAATGCTCTCTTTTGGGCATGGCAGGGTTGTGGCTCTCACAAACTCGTTGCAGCTATGGCCACCCACACTTGGTCAAGCCAGCTGGATCAGTCAAGGTGCCAGCATCAAGGGGCACCAGTTGGACTTAGTGGGGGTAAGAAATGAAACAAAGGTAGAAGGGGCATATGTTGTGGGTGTCTGGGGAGAGTGTGGGAGGTTGGGGATGGATATGATCAATATAATAGTCTATATGTATGAAATTACCAAAGAATAAATAAAAGAGACATATAAGAGCCATCATCAGAGTGTCCAGCCCCAGAAGCTGGCTCACGATCTGTTTTAGAGTGTGACGAACGGGTTGCACAGACAGCAGGGCAAGAGTGCTGTGTGTGTCAGGGAGCTCTTGAGAGTCCTGCTAGAATCTGGCAGCTGGATGATCAAGGCTCCCGCCCAACAGGAGAGGTCCCAAAGGTCTGTTTGGCTGCTGTTTGACTTTTGGTTTGGGGTTTTAAAAATGGACTTTGCAAAGGAGAGGGGACTTTTGGCGGGGCAGTCCCCAGCTGCCTATTCGTTTCCTGTCATTTGCCTTCATGGTTTTTCTAGGAAACAGGTTGTCTTCAGCTGCAGCCAGCAAGCGCTTGTTGGCAAGTAGAAGCTGCCAGGGTCAGGACCCCATGCTGACTGCTGGGGTCTAACTCCTGATGTCACTAGGGCTCTATGTGCTCTGGCTTCCCACCTCCCCATAGGGCCTCTCCCCCGGCAGGGACTGCTGCCATGATTCATCGCCGTGAAGTGATACAGTTGGTGGTTCTCATCTGTCCGTGCCTCTGTCCAGCACATCTTCCCTGATCCCTGGCCCGCTGTGGAGAAGAAGAGGTTCTTGAGTCAAAGACTCATGGGACAAAGGTCCAAATTAGGAGCAGAAGGAGAGGGAGCACGAGCAAGGAACTCAGGACCGCGAGGGGTGCACCCACACACTGAGACAATGGGGATGTTCTATCGGGAACTCACCAAGGCCAGCTGGCCTGGGTCTGAAAAAGCATGGTATAAATCCGGACTCTCTGAACATAGCGGACAATGAGGACTACTGAGAACTCAAGAACAATTGCAGTGGGTTTTTGATCCTACTGCACGTACTGGCTTTGGGGGAGCCTAGGCAGTTTGGATGCTCACCTTACTAGACCTGGATAGAGGTGGGCGGTCCTTGGGCTTCCCACAGATCAGGGAACCCTGATTGCTCTTCGAGCAGATGAGGGAGGGGGACTTGATCGGGGGAGGGGGAGGGAAATAGGAGGCGGTGGCGGGGAGGAGGCAGAAATCCTTAATAAATAAATAAATTTAAAAAAAAAAAGACTCATGGGACAGGATGAGTTCCTGCAACTTCTGCTCCAGGTCCTGAGCCTGCTCCTGCAGCTCTGCGAATGCTTTGAGTTTTTACAAGGCTGACTACGTCCATTAGAATGGAAATGTCCACAGTGGCTGCACCCATTGGCATGGACAAGATGGTGACCATTGCTGCTTGATAAAGTTCCAGCATTTTGACTTTGCAGATCACAGTTTTCCATCACCCTTTGGTTCTCACTGTGTGTTATGTGCTCGGTTCCAAACAGATTAAGAGATTCTCTTTTGTCCTGCAAGAGAGACTGACATTTTCAAGATGTCCCCTCTCTGCTGTCTCTCTGTAGAGATAGGATTTACAGAGACACCTGTACATAGATCTATCCTTCACTTTTTGCAGCAGATTCTGTAGACCAGTGGTTCTCAACCTGTGGGTCGGGAGCCCTTTTGGGCGGGGAGGGGGTGTCAAATAACCCTTTCACAGGGGTCACCTAAGAGCATTGGAAATTCCAGATATTTACATTATGATTCATAAATAACAGTGGCAAAATAACAGTTATGAGGTGACAACAAAAATAATTTTATGGTTAGAGTCGCCACAACATGAGAAAGTGTATTAAGGGGACCCAGCATCAGGAAGGCTGAGAACCATTGCTGTGGACACTCCTCCATCCTGCTCACCTAAGCCCAGCTCCTACAGTGGCTTCTCCCAACTCTTTCACTAATACCATGGTGCCAAAGCGAGCCTTCTTCCTCCTTGAGAACACCTGACTGATTCACCTGACTCTAACAGGCGTGTCCTGAAGACAGAGATACCAGGTGCTTAAAAGAAATCTCACACTGACTCAGAACTGAGAGATAGACAGTTATTTATTTAGGGGGAAAACTTACAAATCAGGATTCTCTGCTTGAACGGTGGATGGAGATGAGATCCAAAACAACCTGAACGATCAAAATGGGAACCAGGGGGGAGGAGAGAAGGGGCCGGATGCAATTTGGCATCCGGATAAATAGTCTCTGAGGCCACGCCCCAGTAGGCAGGTAAACCTTCCTGTAGCAGCGTCCCTGGGATCCTTGGCTGATAAACATGGACTATACAGGTGTATGTTGTCGGTGTCATGTAAATGAACAAATAAACCAAGGCAGTTGTGAGGGGTCTCTAGGCCTTTCAGAGGTAGCCATGGCTACCAAAGGTTCCTTGGTCACTCCATCATAACCAACACCCTAGATAAAGGGCATGGCTCAGACCAGCTGGACATCTGAGGGACCATGCAAGACAAAACTTCCAAGAACTGTAAAGCATAGGGAAGGAAATTGCATGTTCTGCTGACAGTCATTCTGAACCAGTCCATACCATCAGTAGACGAGAAATCCTCAGCCTGTCAAGGGTTCTGAGAATATGTTTCTTATTCCAGTGTCCCTGAGTTGAGTCACAACACTTCAGAGCCATGGGATTGTTACCCAAAGGCAAATGGAAGTCAGGAGACCAATGCCTAGAGGAACCAGTGGGCCAAGATTACACAGGCTCAATGTGTTAGATCCAGCTTGGCCTGACTACAGCCATCTGAGTCTAAGCATCAAGAGTGGCCATGAGAAACTCTAACCTGCTGCCCCTACATGGCCTGTCATTACAGTGGCATGTGGGTTTTGCATGGGGTCTGCAGGGCTGTCAGTGTTGGAGACACACCTAGCATCCTTAGTGTTATCTGAGACCGGAGTAGTCCCATTCTGACTCTGATAAATGTCACCAGTATCCTGCTTACCATATGTAACTCCTCCCTCTGAGCCCTGTGGCAGCCCACCAGGCTTCCATCTTCCCTCTACTTGGCACTGTGCATAGCTCTCCACCAACGAGAACACTATGCTATCTTGACCCCGCACTTTTCTTTGCTCCCATGCCATCTTCTTCTGCCGCAATCGACTGCTCTATACTCAATTTATCTAGACCAGGAGGTTAATATTTATTGAACACAAGTCTATAAATATAAGAGGACAAGAGCCAGTTAATCTGAGACACTGTCTTGGCCATCACATCTCTCTCCAGTATGAGAGGAAGCTGAGGGTCACAGGCTGAGTCTCCTGTCATAGACACGTTGACTCCAAATCACAAGTTATCTGACCTCTCATGTAAATCTGCCTTGACTCTCAACCCCCAGAACCGACCACTGTCACATCACACACACAGACATTCACTTTGATACCATTGGTCTCTCTGGTGACCCTGTCC